CCTAGGCATATGAATCATCCTTGTGAATCATTCTTCTTCTGCTTCAAATGGGGTGAATTATAACAAAGATAATGTCTACAAGGCTATCATGTATTAAATTTCTCTGTAAAGTTTTACATTGTGAAAGTCGCAAGATAGCTTATTGATAAAAGTTACTATGGTTGCTTGAAACACCACTATGATCATTTTTTTGCAAGTTTACATAATTTGCAGGGTGCTCACGTGATAAAACTGTGATGTATTTTGACAATCTTATGTCTCTCCTTTGCAAATTCTTGAAAGGTTGTAAGGATCCATGAATGATGAAAGACAAAGACATTAATCTCTTATGGAACGCAGATAAACTTGGAAAATTTTACAGTTTTTATCTGCAAAGTTATTATGAAATGTTTTGAACTAATTTGAACTACTTTTATTGAACTTATCATCTTAATGATATGACATTATTCTGTGAGATTTGTAAAAATTACAGGTTTAACCAAACAAGAGAGATATGAGCCTCGTCTACAATATGCTGACAGCGCCTAAAGCTCTTAAGCTTAGGTTTGCAAACGCTCGAGGGTAAATCCCGACAAAGGTTAAAAACTCAAGTCTTAACTTGAGGATAAATCCTAAGGGTTAAAAACTCAAGTATGAAGATTAAGGAAGGTAAAACCTTAACTGGTTAAAACTTCCACGAAGATTAAGGAAGGTAAAACCTTAACTGGTTAAAACTTCCATGAAGATGAAGGAAGGTAAAACCTTAATCAGCAACGAGCTGGGGGACTTCTGATCTGGATATTAATATGAGATCCACATAAAAGAGGCCCACATTCAAAGTCTTCTCCATTAAGCAAAGCTTTGGTCAACAAAGGCTGCTACTTCTTCTCCATCTCCCAAACTTATCTCATCAAGCTCCTCAATATTAAAGGCTACATGACAGCAAGCTACTTCTTCCACAAACTTCACTGCCAAGAAACTTCAGCCACCTACAAGAACCAATAAGGAGGAATCTTAGCTTTCATCATGAAGAAAGACATCTCTCAAGTTGAACATCTCTCTACTATAAATTCATACATGTTAACGCAAAGGTACACATCTTCTTCTACATAATTAAAACCTGCTTGAACCATATCTGACTTGAGCGTCAGAGTATCTTGCAGGTACACCCACATCTTGTTCCATTGAAGATCCATGGGTTAAAGCTACTCCAACTGCAAGATGCTCTGACCGAAAGCGGTTCCAGGCTATTTGTGTAGAGGGAGATCACATGATTAACCCAATTGTAAAACCGGTTCTGATCAAAAAGTAATTGTTTTGTAGAAAATTACTTGCTAAATATAATAAACAATTGATTTAAAAATATAGTTGTACCAACTTGAAGTTAATAACATATTATTGCCTATTAGCTTAATAAAAATAGATACAATAATAATGGTATGAGAACGGGATCAACTTCAATTAACAAAATACCCTTTCTGGAATTAAAAACACAAAATACCCCTTCTTACATAACTTTTTTTACTTTATGAAGAACAAAAATATCGCAGCAAAATGTTATCGAACCCCAAATTAATTTTCTTTCATACGGTACCTAAGTAAACAGTGAATAACATTATCTCATAGATTACCAAAAAAAAAAAAACATTATCTCAAAAATTTTGTGTAAATCTATCAAACCTTTTATGTAAGATGGATGAAATGTAAATAACTTAAGTTAAAATCAATATATTCTGTGCCCAAAATCAATTTTTGGGTATAGATTCTTATGACCTCCTCCATGCCCTGCGGTAATTATTATTGTATTAGGGATAAAATCCCAAATAACATCATTGAATTAAAAGTTCAAATTAACAATTAAAAATAAAAATTATTGAGTTAATGAGTGCATTCGGGTAATATCATATAGCAATAAATGAGGAAAGGCGAGAAACCGCTCAAATCCTTGGATGATTGATGAAATTATAGATTACCAGCAAACAAGTAAAAACAAAGGGTTTTTTTTTTTTAAAAAAAAAAACTAGTCTTAATTACCTCTTCGAGGCGAATCAGAATCCTCTGTATCCCCACGGGTTCGACTCCTTGAGCCGCCTATGGGACTAATTTAGAGTTCGGGTGCGAGTCCAAAGATTACGGTACTTATACCCTCCCTAGATGATGTTGGTGGGAAACAAAGGATTTTATTAATCTCATGTTAAAGAAGATAAATTATCTCATGTCATAGAGATAAATTTGTGGGCTCCACCACCTGAAAAATAAAAAGTAAAGAAAAGAAAAGAAAAAGGTGACACAATTATCGAATGATGTGCAGAAGAGAAAGCATGAGAATAGTTTTTCTCAAAAACAAAACTAGGATTAACTTTTTGAACTTCTCTATCAACCATATCTCTTTCTCATCAAGTAAGTATACTTATTTAAACATTTACAAGATGGTATACTCCAATATATAATTCAATAAGCTAAAATAGCAGCCAAGGAAAACCCAAAAAGCAAGAAAGAGATTATTAAAATAACAGGTACATTAACGAAGCAATAAGTATGGAAGCTGTCACAGGATCAGCAGAAAATCATTCTCAATAGACACCTTCATCTGCAATAAATGAAAATATAGGTATCAAAAAGTAATTATGCAAGGGTAAGGCTGCGTACAAGGATTTCTTCCACCCCACACTCGTTAGTCGGGTTTAACGGGGAGTGATTTTTATATGTATCAAAAAGTAGTTGAGCTGAGAATTGAGTCGTTGATTACACCAAAACATGCCACAGTTGAATTTGGATGTAAGATTATTAAAATGAATGAGAAATAAGAAATGAATTGGAAGAGTAAAATTACAATACCATCCCCATCATTATAATCATCTTCATCATCATCGAAATATTCATTCTGCAAGATTTAACTGAGTTAGATACTATATGCTTCATAACGTAGAACAAATCATACCACACCCAGAACAAAAAGGAAAAAGGAAAATAGTGAAATAACTCTTCAAAGTACTACCATCAACCCCCCAAACTTCTGGAAAATTCCATCAAGTGACATCAAAAAATATTACACATAAATAGATCCAGTTAGTCGAAATTGTGATCACTCTTAAATTCAAATAAGTCCTACGTTAGTCCCTAGGACTAATATGAGTCTTCTTTGAATTTCAGAGATATCACAAGTCAATTTTTTTATTCTAAGCGATTATATTGGGATCCGTAATTTTTGTTGAGGATCCAAAAGGTACTTTACTCGAAAAAATTTATAATGTGAAATATGGAGTAAAATACATTTTGGATTCTCAACAAAAATTATAAAACATATTTTAATCCCTCAAGAAAAAAATCGACTTGTGGTCCGTCTGAAATTCAAAATTGACTCAATTAAAAAGACTAACCTTCTTTGAATTTAAGAGAGAATATGAATTGATTTATTTTCTCTAAGGAATTAAATTGGATCCTGTAATATTTGTTAAGGACGCAAAAGGTAGTTTATGTCCGCGGTGTAACGGTGATGAGGAGTCCATTTTACACATGGCCAGAGATTGTAGAAGAATCAGAAATGTCTGGTTAGATCTTTTATGGCCTCATCTGGTAAGTGAGTTCTTTACTGCTGATCTTGAAAGTTGGCTATCGTTGAATTTGAGAATTGATTCGCTGAGGATATTTAATGCTTCCTGGTCCTTGGTGTTTACTGTGACTGTTTGGCATGCCTGGATTTGGAGAAATAATATTATCCATGTGGTGCTTTTGATTGGTACTCTTACAAAACTGAAACTATAGCACAGAAAGTTAAGGAGTACGCTCAAGCTTGGTCAAGCTGCTATGGAGTAAAGTCTAGAAGGACTCATGAATTTATTTCTGTTTGTTGGATTCCCCCGGAAACAGGTTGGATAAAAATAAATACTGATGGGGCAGCTAGGAGTGCTGGTGGTGGGGCTGCTTGTGGTGCGGTCATCAGGGACGAATCAGGCCAATGGCTTCAGGGCTTGGCTTATAATATAGGTCAATGTTCAGCTTTTGTTGCTGAACTATGGGGCGTCCTTAAAGGTCTTAAAGCAGCTTGGGCTGGTGGTTGGAGGCGATGCTTATTAGAAAGTGATTCTAGTTCAGTTATCACTTTACTCACCAAGAATGGTAGAGTAGCTCGAGAGTCTCGTTTGGTGACTCGCATTCGAGCTTGGTTACAAAAGGATTGAGAGGTTCATTTGGTACATGCATACAGAGAATGTAATAGTTGCACTGACTGGCTCTCCAAGTACCCATTAGACCATCATATGGGGAGTAACTTGTGCTTTTTTCCTTCTCCTCCCCCTGCTATTTTGCCTTTGTATTTGGCAGACTTCTCTTTGGTTTGTAATTTTCGTAGGGTTGTGTTGACTTGATTGTTTTTCGGGGGTTTTTTCCCCTCTACTTTACCAAAAAAGAAAAAAAAAATCTAATTGGCATGTCAAAATTTGCAATTTGGTAAAGCAGTAAACTATACAAAATTACTATTACATAATAAAACGAACTATTATAGCAAAGTAATATCATCTAAAATCCTATAAAATAGACAATAACAGTAATTATTATAGTAATTTTAGAGGTTACACGTTGCTCACTTTATTTAATTTCTACCTCCAAAACAAAGCCAACATAAAAAAAGTAACCAAATGCATTAATACAAAATTGATATACTTCGTTAAGATTTAACAAAATGAATTAGATAAATATATGTGCAAATGTTATTATTATAATTCATTATGAAATTTCCAATTAAACCTAAGAACAAATTTGAAAGAAAAAATTCCTATCAGTAAAACTAATAAATATGGATCAATATTCTTTTTCTCTCTTTGATTCACCTTTATAAAGTTTTAATTTCCTCCTCACAAAAAAAAATAATTAATTTCCTCATATGACTAGATCATATATTTTTTTAACATAAAAAAATTCAGATCCAACAAATATAAGAGAAAGATAGATTAATACAAAATTTGTTCATACGTTGTTAAATATATGAATACAACAACTATAACTATAACTATAACCTCGGTTTTCAGCAAAATAACAAGACTGCCATCCCCATCAAGATATAGCTAAAACCGCACTTAAAATTCAATTCAAAGTCACTTCCGTCACAAGTTAACATTCCTATACAACTATAACCAGCTTTAATTAATAATAACAATAATAACCTCAATAATTCAAAATCAAAAGCTGTTAAATCTCACCGCCGCAATGAGTTTGCCGGCGACGGCGTTCATCCTCGCCGCCATCTTCGTATTCTATGTGACTGCAAAATCACTGGACTTGGACCCAAACGAGTGCGGGCCCGCAACGAAACGTGACTCACGGAACCTCCGTCCCGACAAAATAACGGTCCTCATCAACGGCTACTCCGAGTCCCGCATTCCCCTGCTCCAATCAATAGCCGCCACGTACTCCCTCTCCCCCATCGTATCCTCTGTGCTCGTCCTCTGGGGAAACCCTTCCACCCCGCCACGTGTCCTGCAGCAATTGGCTCGCAACCTCTCCTCAACAGCAGCATCGATCACCGTGCACCGGCATCCCTCCGGAAGCCTCAACGCGCGGTTCCTGCCGCGCCCAAACGACATCGAGACCGACGGCGTACTGATCTGCGACGACGACGTGGAGGTGGACGGCGCGTCGTTGGAGTTCGCGTTCCGCGTGTGGTCGACGAACCGGAACCGGCTGGTAGGGCTGTTCGCGAGATCGCACGAGGTGGATCTGAACCGGAAGGAGTGGGTTTACACGGTTCAACCGGACCGGTACTCGATCGTGCTTACGAAGTTCATGTTGGTGAGGAGCGAGTACTTGTACAGGTACAGCTGCGAGGGTGGGTCCCAGATGGCGATGATGCGGAGAGCCGTTGATTCGGCGCGGAATTGCGAGGATATTCTGATGAACTTTGTGGTTGCTGATGAGAACAATGTGGGACCCATCTTGATTGGGGCAAAGAAGGTTAGGGATTATGGTGACGCAAGGAACGATGATGGTGTGGTTAGTGTGGGGTTGAGTAGTAGGAAAGGGGAACATAGGAAGAGGAGAGGTTGGTGTATAACGGAGTTTCATAGGTTGTTGGGGAGAATGCCTTTGAGGTATAGTTATGGGAAGGTTGTTGATTCTGTTGGTGAACAGGGTTTGTGTCTTAAAGGTGGCAAATTGGTGTTTTGTGATCAATGATTCTATTATCAGAGGAATTGTTTGATTAGAAAATGCTATGAAAATCAGAATGATCAATGGCAATTTATATATAAAAAGATAACTGCAATTGGAAATGATGTAGTGTGCACTGTGCAGTATGTATATGTATGAATCGATGATCTCATATTTCACCGGTCATGAATTTTCTCCTCAGTTCAATGAAGTTAGATTATGGGTTTATTATCTTTGTGAAAAAAATATAATATGTTGATATAGGGAATTATAAGTATATAAAAGTGGATCAAACATAATAAAAAACGATATAAAAAATATATTAAAATTGATAATTAACAAATTATAACCGTTAATTTATAGGGGAAGGATATTGTGACAACCAAGTTGTGTTACTACCAAGTGACTATCAATCAATCTCACCGTGAGATCGATTATGTTGATCCAACGGTTATATTTATTTCCATCTTTGTATGGTCATGATTCCCCATATTTAAAGTGAAAGCATTAAATATGAAAAATTATAATCATATAAATGTGAAAATAAATATAAAGTATTAAATTTGGAAAATCATGACCATACAAATATGGAAATAAATATAACCGATCAATATAATCGATCTAATCGCAAGATTGATTGGTAATCACTTGGTAGTAACACAATTTGGTTGTCACAATATCCTTCCCCTAATTTATATATTCGTGCAATTTTTTTTTGTTAAGATCAGTTTCTGGTTTCCCGTATCCCAAACTTCATGCCTAGTTCAAACATTCACTGGCTAGTGGCTACCCTTATTTCTACAACTAGCTACCCTTATTTCTACAGTTAAGACTTGAGACAGTGGATTATCCAATGTTGCGGATACATACTTTAATCGACTGGCTCTAAATTTTGAAAATGGATTCCTCAAATGAAAAAGTTACTCACATTTTTTAACCTATTAAGGAGGAATTCAGTACAACTATACTTAAAGTTGAAACTTCAAATAGCTAAACGAATTTTTAATTTTAAAATACATTATTTTTGTTAGGAAAAAATATTTATCATCTTAAAAGACACACTTTTGTGTCATTTTAAGTAAAAAATCATGTTTTAATATATATTTATTAATTTTTTATATTTTATATTTTATATTTTTTATAATACTCTCTCTTTCTCTCTAGTCTCACCTTTTAATTTCATGAAGGAGAGATTATATAAAAGAATGACACTAAATATACACCAAAACTAATTACCAAAAAAAAAAAATATACACCAAAACATGATATTTCACCTTTTTTTTTACGGAGACATATTTCACTAAAAATCACATCATTTAATAAAGGGAAATTCCTATCACTTAAGCTTACCAAAAAAAAAAAAAAAAACTCCTATCACTTACGGTTTGCAATTATTTATTGTGTAGTGTGTTTTAAAGACTAATCCCTAGAGAAATTCCTAGAACTGTAGACTTGACTCCATAGATGTTTTTTTTTTTTTTTGATAACATTAAGGGGCGAAGCCCCAAACAAAAACAAACTAACAACCAGAAACAAAAAATAACTATCCAGGGTCTATACCCCTACAAGAGGAGATTCCCTGCAGATCGTGATCAAATAACTGAGCAAGGTGAAACAGCATAACTCTATGACTCCAGAATCCAGTATCTTTGTGAAGAGCAGACTTGGCTAACCAATCAGCACAAGAATTAGCTTCTCTTGGAATATGAGAAAGCGTTACCTCCCAATCCTGACCGATGAGTGCTTGTATCTTAGCCACTATACGAGGCTGACAAGCTGCATTGCAATCAGCAAGCAAAGAGAATACTTCAGAAGCATCTCCTTCTAGTTCCACCTTCTTAAATCCCAGTTGCCAAACCAATTCCAGACCTTTTAGAGTTCCCCAAAGCTCCGCCATTAAAGGAGTGCAAGCACCAATATGATACTCAAAGCCTCCCAACCAAGAGCCATCATCAGATCTGATAATCCCACCACAAGCAGCCACCTCAGTATTCCTTTCAACTGCCCCATCAATATTAATCTTCACCCAATTTAACCTTGGAGGTTTCCATAAACTCATACGAGTTGGATGAATGCTAGTAGTAGCCATAGCCTTCCTATCCATGCAGTTACGAACTTCCTCTATATACATAGCAATTATGTGCGTTCCATGGGTTGGATGCTTGAAGTTAGTATCATGGACACTTTTGTTCCTCCATCCCCAAATGAACCAACAAGAGATAAAAAAGACATCACGCCAATCATCTGAATTACTTTGATTCCAAGCTTTTGAGATATTATTTTCAACCCAATCTCTAAGATCCAAGCTGTAGAATAAGCTTTGCCGATTAGCTGAAACCAGAGAATTCCAAACACTTCTAGCATGCTTACAATCTCTTAGAACATGGAGGTTTGTTTCCAACTCACCAGGACATATTTTACAATGACCAGATTCCCCACTCCATCTAGATGTGCGGTCTTTAGTAAGAAGGCGGCCATGCATTATGATCCACATACAAGATTTAACACGTTGAGGCCCATGCCATCTCCATATGGTAGTCCAAGAATTTTTCAACGGCATGAGAGGGAAACCAAGCATGTTATAATACGCGGTTTTAACTAAAGAGCAGCCAACCTTTTGATTTCTCCAAATAATGCGGTCATTTCCATCCGATGCGCTAGGAATGAGAGCAGCTTGGATCCTTGCAACAGCTTAATCATTGAGATATTGACGAATATAGGGAAAGTTCCATTGACCAGTATTGCTGTTCACGAAGGCACTAACAGGGAGATTCAACTCCAAACCAGTTGGAGTACGAGTAGCCAGAGAGGCAAGACACTCAGTTAAACCCAACCAATTGTCTGTCCAAAATAATGCATCATTACCGTCTCCAATCTCCCATTGCATTCTTGAAGAAAAGATGGCCAAACACTACACAGATTTTTCCAGAAGTATGAGTCATATGCTTTATGGTTTACTTCCCTCCGAAGATCCAAACCTCTCTTATATTTACTTGTTACAACTCGAACCCACAACGAATCGGGCAAAGTAAGTATCGTCCATGCAAGCTTGTGAAAGAAAGCCATATTTTGGACACGAAGGTTAATCACCCCTAAGCCACCCATGCTCTTAGGCTTGCAAATATTATCCCATGCAACCAGATGAGATCTCCTTTGACCATTTTTATCACCCCAAATAAAGGCACGCTGCAACTTCTCTATTTCATCACAAATGGCTACAGGAAGCAGACTGTGTTGCATTTGAAATATAGGAGTTGCTGAAATAACGGAGTTGGAAAGTGTAATTCGACCGGCAAAAGATAAGACCTGGTTACTCCAACCAGATAACTTGTGCCTAATTCTTGCAACAACATCAGCATAATGGTCTTTGGTTACTCGACCATGTTTCATCATGGACCCAAGATATCTCCCTATATTGTGAGTTTGCTTGAAGCCACACACATTTGTGATATCATCTGCAATGTGAGCATCTGTATTTTTCGAGAAAAAAATACTAGATTTCGGAATACTAACCTTTAGGCCAGACATTGAACTAAAAGTCTCCAAGCAATCCACTATAACTTTGATTTGATCTAGAGAAGCTTCTGCAAACAACATCAAATCATCAGCAAACATCAGATGGGCTATCTTAGGACCTTTTGATCCCACGGAGATTGGCTTCCATCTCTTATTGTCAACCGCATCTTGAATGAGATGAGACAATTTTTCCATAGCTAGAACAAAAATGTAGGGGGATAAAGGATCACCCTGACGAACTCCTCTTGAAGGAAGGAAGTCACCTGCAATGGCTCCATTCCAAAGCACTGAGACCTTATCAGAGTTGATACAATTCATGATAATATTTGTGAACCAGTGTGGGATTTGAATTTCATCCAAAATTTTACGAACAAACTCCCAATTTAACATATCATAAGCCTTTTCCAAGTCGATTTTAATTGCCATGAAACACTTTCTTCCTCTCATTCTACGCATTGAATGGATCAGCTCTTGGGTGATGATGATGTTGTCCTGGATATGTCGTTTAGGAACAAAACTAGCTTGGAAGGGAGACACCATCTCTTCCATTAGGGGCTTCATTCTGTTAACCAGAATTTTACTGAGGATTTTATAAATGACATTGCACAAAGAGATTGGTCTGAGCTGCTTAGCACTTTCAGGTCTCTTTACTTTTGGAATGAGGACCAGAAGAGTCGAGTTCACAAGGTGAATCAGATTGGGATTCTGAAACATCATGTTAACATCCTTAATAACATTAGTCTTAATAAGACTCCAATTCTTATGAAAAAAGGCAGCTGGAAAACCATCTTCCCCTGGAGCTTTTGACCCATTGATACTAAAAACAGCTTTTGAAATTTCGTCATCCGAAAGATTACGAGTCAAATTAGATAGCAGATCATCGTGCAGAAGGGGCCAAGTAGTCTTTGATTTCACCCAATCACGATTAAGGACTTCCTCACTAAACAAGTTGCTATAGAAATCTGTTACCAATTGATGAAGTTGTCTAGCTTCCTTCACCCAAATCCCATCAGAATTTTTTAACTCAAGAATCCTATTCGAACTTCTTCGAGTAGCTGTTTTAATGTGATAGAATTTGGTGTTTCTATCCCCATCATTTATCCATTTCACCCTGGCTTTTTGAAACCATAAGATCTCTTCTTGTATGAGAACCGCATCAAGGTCCTTCCTAACCTCCTTTTCTCTAGATTGGAGAGATAAGTTGGTATGATAATCAACATGATTCTGAATTTCTGCAATACTATGCAATAGGTTAGTCTTCCTATTGAAAATGTTGCCAAAGACTATCTTGTTCCATCTTTTTAAATTTGGAGTCAGATCATGCAGATTCGTTCTAGTGTCTTTCACAACATTCCAGCTCCTAGCCAGAAACTGAGTAAAGTTATAATGCTCCATCCAAGCAATCTCAAAGCGAAAGGGACGATTTTTCCAACCTGTGTCCAAGTTAGACAAGTAGACCAAAATGGGACTATGATCAGAATAAATCCGTGGAAGTACCTTAACGCCAGCATCAGTAAAGGTAGTCTTCCAACTTGCATTAGCACAGGCTCGGTCCAGCCTCTTAAAAACACGATC